AAAACCTCCGCCCTGACCCCACTGCCGGCCTGAGTTACGAACGCCTTTTCAAACTCAGGCCCTGACACAGTCGCCGAAGGCCTGTTTTTCGTGCCTTTACAAACTCAAAACCTGCCGCGTCCACGGTTGTTTCAAAAAAAAACTAAATCCAGAACAATGATGAACAAAGGCCGTTTCACCAACTCAGAACCTGCCGCATCCACCGTTGTTTAAAAAAAAAACTAAATCCAGAACAATGATGAACAAAGGCCATTGCCGTTTCATGAAAGAAACAGAAAAGAGATGTGGGGGAAGCCATCTGACCTAGGGCATACTTACAATAATGCTGTCCAGAATGTATCTGACCACTATCACGGCCGAATATATGTCCTTTTCAATTTTTTTTCCCTTCTTATTTGTAGTGCCCTGCCAGAGAGGCAGGGCGTATTCCACCTTCTCAGGAAAGGCCGTTACTGAGGGCATACTCACGCTCGTACTTCCCAGATTATGGGCCTCCCTGCACTACGCTAGACACATGAAAAAATTCAAGAGCACGTCTAGCGCTGTCAGACTCCTGGATTGGCATCAAGTGCTGTCGTAGTGAGCATTCTTGACTATAGGACAGACACTACAAGACAGGGCAGTGACGATTTGTCCACCGAGACTGGAGGCCGATTCTCAAATTTGCAAACCGCACGGCCTCGTTTGAAAAAAATGCCCCTGCGGGCAGGAACTGTGGAAGCTTCAAGATCTCGTCCGATGGGCCATTTCTGACACCTCTTGAAGCGCCGGACCAAGAGCGCTTTTTCACAGTTAGTGCAGCTATGACTCACTCTCGACGTTTTCAAGAGTGAATCTGACAGCTCTTGAATGGAAATTCAGGACGCAGCGTCAAGAGTTAGTGCAGCGGTGATGAACTCTTGATTTCTCAAGATTCAAGAGTAGTGCAGTGAGGCCCTATATCTGACGTTATCATGGCCATATCTTCCATTCTTTTCTCTCCTCCCCCCCCCACCCCCATTTTACATTCTTGGGAACGCCCTCACTCAGGGCATACTTTCACTACTACTATCCAGAAGGTATCCTATGGAGATACTTCCAAATCCGTCTTTGTTTTCCTTTTTTTTTTGGGTTTTGTTTTTTTCATAGATTAGTGCCCTGCCAGCAAGGCAGGACGTCTGAGTAAATAGTGCAGTCAAGCCCGCTTTCGCATTTGTTGTCTTTTATTTTCCCCGATTAAACACTGGATCTATTTTTTTTGGCACCAACCTTTTCCCTCCGAACCTGCGCCGCACAGGATCACTGTTCATCTTGCCACGGTCGCAGTGTACTTCGTTTTGATAATCAATTTACAACGGTCGCAGTGTACTGCATTTTGGTAAATAGTAGGGGTCCATCTTGAACTGGTGGTTTAATTAAGAATGCCGGACCCTCTATTTTGTCAAATTTCATCCTCTCTCGGGCAGATTCTTGCCAAATTAGTCAGTTTCAAAAAATAAAAAATGTTCGTTTTGTCAAAATTGCTGTTATGCAGTCTTTTTAGGCATTGCAAGAAAACGGAGAAAGTCTTTTCTTTTCCCTTTTCTTTTGAATTCTTATCCATTTAGCTCTATCTGGATTCGAACTCAGCTCTGTATTTCGACACTTCATGGGTGTACCAACTCAGCTAGGCAACGTTGGTAGGTGGAGGAATTCACAGGGGACAAAAGCCAGGGTTTTTTTTTGGGGGGGGGGGGGGGGGGGGGGGG